AATGAGCAAGACATCACACTCAGAGCCCTCAAGCTTGTCAAAAATAACCATAAACTTCACTTGCAAAAAAAAAAAAAAAAAAGCAGCCAGTTAAGGAGGGAAATTGCAGATAAGAGAGAGACGTGGATTATACTACTTTAGTCAGTTTGGTGTTGTTCTATGTTATTCAGAAGCTCATAAAGTCTTCATAGAAGCACCAGTTTGTTCCTTGCATTTGCCCAAATGAACAAAGCGTAGAGCATTAAGAATTGGTAACAGTCTAAAGAGGAGATGATGGCTCCATGCTTTTCTCCTCTGCGCTCTGTTGGCAAGCTGAATAGGCAAAGGTGAAATTCTGCCCCCCGTTCATCACAGCGGTGGTCACTTGGACACTGCAGTGTGGGGAACAGCAATTAGGCACGCGTCTCCCTGAAAGTCAATACGTCCACGTCAACACAATGAGATCCAGTCCCTAAGGCATGATCCAGGCTTTTGTTATTATCTCTTATTTGAAGGGSCTAGGTGACCCAATTGGTTACAACATTAGCTTTTCGTTTTTGTAGCCTTAAGTCACACAAGACCTATTCTTGATTTTTGGACATTAGTCTACATGGAAAGCAGAATTGGCAGTCTGTGCCCACCAGCCACAAAAACAGAGTTACGCCAAACAATCGTGCCCTGAACTTTCCGGCTAATTAGCTGTTGAAGCTGTACCCAAGAAATAGGTTCTGTTGCCCATGGGAAGAAGTGTGTAGCCATTATTAATGTCCCAGCTTATATCTCTCAATAGGTCTTATGAGCAACGCTGCTTAAGGAGGCTAAATGTACAACTGGGAATTAAAAATTATTGTGCCCCTTTCACTGACTGAAAACTTGTTTCACTTGGGCCAGGATTGGTGTCAATGTACTTTGTGTGAAAAGTGCAATAGAAGCATTAGTATTTGACAGCCCTGGTTGAAATAAGTGAAATTAATGGAGCTCTTTTCATATACGACAAGGCCATGGCACCCCTTTCATGCTGCTTACAGACAGAGAAAAGTCAATACTTTTTTATTACTTGATGCTGACCTACATTCTGCACTACAAGTGCCAGGCCTACTAATTGGTTTCAGTTGTGAGAAAAGTTTGCCCCAAAGAAACACTGGAGCAGATAAATCAATCTTTTTTAGGGTAGCTTAGTGGGTTTTGAGCACTTAAAATGACATTTGTGTTGTATTGACAGAATGGGTTGTTACACTTGTTTTATCATGTCAGAAGGCCCTCTACTAGTTGGAAGTATTGTTAACCAGTATTGATAAATTTGCTAAGAGTAGAAGTTAGCTGGATCGACATTTCACTTGCATAGCAACTTGCCATTTCTGGTTTGCCTCCTTCTTAGAGATGTCTGTAGCTATTAATAGGTCAGGAGGCTTATGATGACAGCTCAATTTAAAACTCTGATTTTACTATTACAAGCATTAGGATCATAGGGATACTTTAATATGAACCTTTACCATTTAACATAAGGAGTTGTGGACTATGGCTGTACAATGACACTTGGGAGTGCAGCCTGCTTGTTGGAGATGTGCATCTGAGCTCTGTCCTTATGAGGACAGGGATGAGGGAATGCACAGTGTGTTTTCTGYACAGTAAGGATGTAACCAGACCATGGCCTTTTATGCAGAATTTTATATCAAATCATGTAAAATCTTGATATGTACCTGTGGATATTAGTTTCAAGCTAAGGAAARGTGTGGTCTATTCTCTATTTTCACTCTGCAGTAGCATGAAGATAGAGCAAGGATTCAAATAGCTGTGCCTACTGTTCAGTTATTTCAGTTATTCCTTCTGCTGTTGATTTTAAGAGAAGTTACCTACAAAGGTAGTCATCAGTTGGAGGAAGAGCCCATTGCTTTCCTGCAAAAAAGTGTTCTGAGAGCGAAGCCTTGAACAGAATGGTTTACCATTTACCTAGCACAAGGTGTTGCAGTTGAAATCATGCAACTATACAGTGACTCCTGTTATTTGTTGGGTTGGCTCAGAAGAGGACTGAATCACCAGTGCAGGAAGAATATTTTTAATTATGGAGATTATATTTCTGTTCTGTGAAACCACTTCATTTACTACYTCTATAGGTTTATAAGGGACACATTCCAAACAGAAACTGTGAGCATTTATTAAGTAATTTTTGACAAGTCTAATCTATAATATCAGAGTGTGCTGATCGAGACCAATCTGTGTTTGGTAGCTTCATGTTACCTTTTTTTGACTCCGTTGTCCAGGACTGATGAGTGCACATGACAGTCAAGTAGTCAAATACATTGAAGGGGTCCCTAGGTCTTGTTAAATTCTGACAGTTGGACTACAGTCACTTACAATTTACTAGAGTGAAAGGAGTCAAAGCTTGACAAGTTTAAAAAGGAAGTGATATATTAACTTGGTCTGGGATTTAAAAATAGGTCTCAGGTGCTGAGAATTACARGTCTTCTGATCCTGAGCATTACGCGGCATGATTTAAGAATATATGGCAGAAAATTCCATAAAGCTCACCTTATGCTCCTATGATCCTGGGATTGCGAAAGTGTAGAGTCAATCTCAGTGGTATGTGAGGATTCATATTTGTAAACTAATTCATTCCCACTACAAACAACAAGGGATTGGTAGGATGAAAGTAATGCTGACTGAGCCTGATTTTCTCTAATAACACCATTTGTTCGTGCAGCTTCAGAAGGACAATATACCTACTATCTATGCTATGCAGCAATCATCTTGAATTCAGATGATCCTGGCAGGGCTAGGTGTATCAGTCCATCTGAATCAACCAACGGGGCCTTGCAGTCCTCTACCTAGAGGTGCTGAAACTATATTTTGCTACCAATTTAGAGAAACATAAGATCCTGGCTTATGATTCTTTTCCTTCTATTGCTGCTACAATGAGATAGTGGAATGGACACTCTTCAGTACCATGAGATAGAGCTTGAAAGGCTAAGTGGTATTTTAAGCCTTAGTTTCTAACACCTCTGAAAGCTGATTAGAATCTACATCTTTAAATAAACAAAGAAATAAATAGGGTTGCTTTTCCCCTATAAAATATATATTTGTATTTTATGTGCATATCGTGCAACATTTATCTAGTATTCATTATAAACTTCTTTAATTGACCAAACAATTTATTTACTCACCAGTCTGTGTGATGTTTCCTAAATGTAGTCAAACATAACTGCTGTCGTCATAATCGAAGCCAGTTGTTTAAATGCTCAGTTGTGAGTATCTTGTGAAATAGCTTTAAATAACAAGATAAACAGTACAGCTGCCAACCCAAAGTAATCTTACACTGAGGGGGCGTGTGGCACTGAAAATTTCCTCTTTGTCATTTTAATTTGAGTTTGAAGCTGGACCTGGGCTTAGTTCCAGCTCAAAAAAACTGTTTACTTCAAAGGCTCCTAAATCGTCCCAAGGAGCTAATTTTGGCAGCCAATTGTTTTTGTTTGGCCAGGCATCCTAATAGCAGAAGCCGTCTGCTCTAGCAAATGAAGACTTCTCCAGTGCTCAGACTTGCCATGCCTKATTTTACCCTGATGTGGGGGGTGTACACCTTTTACTGGTTTCCCCATCTCACCCCAGGTTCTCTGCTTCTTTTTTACTGAACTATTAGATTGCACCTAGTTGTATTGTGTGAATATTAAAAATATATTTCCTATTTTCAAAATAAAAATAGTTATTTCTTCTTTGAATTATTGAAYAATCCGAAATTACCACTGTAATATCTGCTTCTCTTCTCTGCAGTGAAAGCTTTCTTGTTTCATTCYGTTTTTGTCAACAATATTATTCTGGTAATTTTAATGAATGAAATATAACTTTTATGTTTAGAAGGAAATTACAGTTATGCAGAAGATATAATAATACTTTATGTAATAATTATATGGACTACTTTTACTGCATCAAGAAGGTGCTTGTGATAACAGAAATGCAATGAAAATCAGAATACTGTTCATTCYTAAAGCGCATTATTAAAACGTGCAAATACACTATTTCAATTTGGTAGGAAATTGAGCGTCTGAAGTCATAGGGTAGCATTAAAAATTAAATCTGTGAAGAATTAAGAATGGGGAGTTGCTCACTTTCCTAACATACATAGACTAGTTAATTTTGAATGTATAAATCTAACTTGCTATTTAAAAATTTCTGCACCTGACTGAGAAATCATATAAAAAAATTAAATTATGGGATGTAAGAAATGATATGGTCAAAAGACTGGCAATCTGCAGTGCAGATAATAATTAGGTAGGCCGTGTTTGTATTTGTATGGAGCTTGCCTGAAATCATGGTTGCTTTACTTGTTTATAGCATTCAGCTGAACTATGGTCAATGAAATAAAAAATATCCAGAGAATGATTAGTCTGCTTAGTGTCACCTCTCAAAAACAAATAAACAAACAAACACAAAAAAAAATCAAAATAATTGTTTTTAAAAGAAAACCAAACTTTTCAAATTATTTATGAGTGCCCAGGCTGATGCCTATGTGTTTTCTGCTATAAATCAATATGGTGTCATCAATAATAATGTAATATATATTATTTTTTTTCTTTATCCTTGAGCTGGTTTAATATCTATTTTTTTTTTTTTAATATTACAGAAAAATGAAATTTTGCAAGGGTATCTTGCTGTCTTTAGGTTAAGTGGTTCTCAGGGCAGAACTCATGATCTAATTTTGCATATCATAATTTAGCTAATTTTTCTGTAAAATCTAACTTGTAGGGCAGGAAGTCTTCACATTGCTTATAGTTATGTACAGTTTGAAATACATATTTGGTTGTCATTCAATCAATGAATTCCTGATTTCCTCTCCAAAATAATGTACATATCATAAAAAATTTATATTTCATATATATACACAATTTTTCATAATTTACTCTTTGATTTGTACAGTGAAATTTGACTAGAAGGCAGTATTTATAGACCTAAAATAGTTTAAAAAGCAAGAGCTAAAGTCATGGAAACTAAAYTTAATATTTTTTGTTGTTGTGTTCTTATTTCTCTAGGACTTTCAAACAGTGTTACCATCCATCATTCTTTTTGAAAAATTTGGAAAAACTTATTCCAGAGCTGGGCAAATAGTTTAACCGTCCTGTAAACTGCAGAATAGAGCACTCCTAGTAAGTGAGCAATAAATGTAATTCAGCAAAATGACGGCAGTTTGATGTCTGAATACTCCATAAAAGACTGTTTTTGTAAAGTGATGTATACTGTATCCAAAGTACTGCTACTTGATTTGGCTATATCTTTAAGTAATACAGCTTTCAACATTAATCAGAGRCTTTTTTTTGCAGCTTTGGCAAATGTAATATCTTAGGAAAACTGGATGACTCTTGAAAATGCTTTCTGAAGATGTATTATTTGAAAATAAATCCTTTATGATACAAAACCCAGCGTAATTAAGTAAAAGACCTGATTATACACATTCTGTGTATTACAGGTTTATAAGTGAGGTTAATCTAGGTTTGAAAGTTACATGTGTTCTTTTTTTCTGACATCCATAAATGGATCTGCTTCATCATTAGTGTCAGGATACGTTTGTCTTAGATGTATAGAGATCCATCTCTCCATTCAATGAAATTCGATAAGCTATTTACATGGAAGATTGTATTTTAAATACTTTGAACTCCTCTGTGGGAGGATCTTATCAGTGGATAACTTAATTGCTGAAAATCTAGAATTCTAACTATATATACACCTTAAAATTAAATAAGTTTTTCTAAATCTACTTTATTATTCTTCATCTATAACTGTATGTTTACTCTTCACCCTATGTTAGACAGATTTGATACATGGAAATATAATCATGTAATGCCTGTGAAAACTGAATACACATTTGATCATATAAATGTGATACCTGACTGCAGCATTCACTAGCAGGCAATCCTGTAATACTTTGAGTATCTCCAAGTCCCATTAAATTAAAGGAACTCAGCTCAACATTTTGGGAAGTCTTCAGCATTTTCAGCACCAAATCATAAGGTATTTTGTCAAATTATGTGAGTGGATGGTATTTTTTCAAGACTTTTCTGTTGAATTCCCTGGGATACCATGAGACTCTTTTCACATCATTTGAATATGTTTGAATCAAATATATTATATTTGAATACTATGTTTGAATCAGTTACCAGTRGTAGGCTTTTTATTACTGAATCTTTACAATGTGGCTTTTATGGTTTCTAAGTGAACAAGAAGMCAGGCGTAATTTGTGTTTGTATAAATGTCTACTATGCTTTCCGCACAAGGAACCGAAAATTTTGATTTCCCAGGTTTTCAGACATCAGGCTATGTGAAGCAATACTGAAAAAAAGTTTTAGTGATATCATTCACAAGAGTAAAAACACCCTCAGTTCCATCACGGTAGGTTTTAACTGCAGACATTGGGYGGAGAAGACTACAAACAACACACATGATAGAAAACCAAATGCCACATCATTTGAAAACACTTGAACCCAGGAATGTAGTATTGAGCATTATCATCTTTTTGTAATTTTTGAATTTCTCATTTTAAAGCTTTGAAATGTTTATTCTTCTGCCCTGCAACAACAGATTAATTTTGCAAAGTGAGAAGCAGCAACTTCAATGGCTGAATCTTCCCGTTAAGTTTTAATCTGACTAAATGTCTCGGAGTGCTTTAGTTGTTTGTGAAGGGGACTGAGCATGAGAGACTTGTGCAAAACCATTGATGAATAAGGATACAGTAGTAATTTTKATATGTGAGAGCTATCTATTTGATTGCATCAGCTTTCAGGTAGTTCATCACTTCACAGTAACTCACTCTGTGTTGCCTCTTTAACTCTGTATCACAGTTTCCCATCAGTCCGATTAGAAATGGCAATGCCTTTATCAGATTAATTTTTCTTTCTCTCCCTTCCTTTCAATATCTCTGACCCCGGGACAAAACAAAACCTACAGTGCAAACCAGCATTKCACTAGCTGTGGTGTTCCACACCTAGGAGTCTGCAGAAAAAATGAAATTGCGATTTATGCAATTCTTGCAATTTATGTTCACTGACTGAAACTGAATTCAATTCTTCCTCTTCTTTTGAAAAAAATTACTTATTTATAGTTTATAAGTAGCTACGTACTTCCCAGAAGYCTTCTCACATACAAATAAATCTATTAATTTTATTAGATAAACATTCACAAAATTAATCAAAAAGCAGCAATATTACCTGCTATTTTTTTTGTTTGTTTTTTTGTTGCCAAATATATTTCATAGGGAAGTTCTTTAATTTTTTTTAGTGGGAGTTCATTTAGAATTTATTAATTTGTGGGCATATAACATCCAAAATACTTTGTGTGGTCATTTGATAGCACATGAATCYTTTCGTTTCTCATAAAGTATATTTAGCTTATGACAGAGGAAATGACGCCTTCCATTCAGTCACTGCTTTACTGGGCAGATGATCAGATGACTTTGGTGGTTAATCTTAGACTTGTGCAGAAAGTTCATAGCTTATTTAGGTAATGGATTTCAGTGTGAAAAATCAAGAAACCCCTGAAATCCTAAGGAAATCACTGTAAAGTCTCTGTCAGAATTCAGAATTGCCTAAGCATTTGTATAAACCATTTTATATTTATTCTCATGGGACCTCTACTAATTCTGACATTCTATAGAGACATTGCTGTTGTTGCTGTCTTGCATTGCAGATAAACACATTCATACAAGGAAGACAGAAATAGTTTAAAGAATTTTTTAAATATAAAAGCATGTAAGTTGGTGAAGTTTTAGGTGGATCTTGACTATTTTCAGTTCAAATTTCCAAACAGATGTTACACATTCTAGGAACACTTGCCAGCATAGAAAGGGAGAAAGGAAATAGAAGATAAATTTCAGCCCTGGGATGGACTTCACTTCTGACACTCTGGGATATACCACCATTTACATATGTTAATCCCCTGTGGCAAGTCAAGGAATGTGTCAAGCTGACTAGGAAAATTTTGTTGTGGTTTCTTGTTTCAATAAACATGTTTGAATATAGCTGTTTAAAGCCTTTTAAATCTAGAATTTTTATGTTTTAAGAAATATTCACTGCAATATATTGTGAATAATACAGTAAGGTTTTTAATGATGTCATTATATAACYACTGTGTCTATCACTATAAGCACTAGGTCCCTGTGTAAATTATTTTACTTTAGTTGTGGTTATTATTATCTTATTGATGTAGTCTATCACTTTCGATTATCAAATTATTTTGTCTAAGTAATGTATTTTAAATGATTTAATATATGTATTTTTTTTCTTATTGTTAAAACTATTGTTCCATAGCATACTAACCCTGAATGGTGCATGTTTTTGAGAAGATTTTTTCTGTGTTGTAGGATATGATGGATTCCTGTCTTGCAGTTCAAAATCTTAGAAACACAGGATGTTATAGATAAAGGCACTGGGAAAAGAACATYAAAATTTTGAAAAGAATTCATGGGTCTCAATGGGTCTGCAATATATTTACCCTTTTAGAAATATAACTGGCTATGACACTTAGCAAATTACTTACAGCAGTACCTGAATATCAAAAAAAATCACAAAGGTGCCAGAGAAATGGACAAATACAGGAAATTGTGTATCAGTCTTTATAAAAAGAGCAATTACTATAATTGCTTCATTAAATGTGATTCAATCAGTTGTAATTGAACAAATGTAACAAAACATATAGAGTCAATACCGAACAATATAAAATCATCCTCATTTCTGTTTCCTACAATAATAGAAGATGGCCTTCAGCCAGCTTGAGCTGCATGGTCCTTGCTTTTCAGCCACAGAAACACAAATACTTTTTGTGATCTGTAATTGATTTAATCCTCTTTCATAAAGGGGAAAATGAATACTGCTAGGCATTTTCATACTGCGTGGCTGAAGTAACTTATCAAATGTCTTTAGGAAGCAGCACATACTGTGAAGAACCGGTAATACTGTCTGACTAACGGAATATTGCTGATATGTCACTTAGATATCTTTGTCTACTGTGTAAAAAACCTGGAACTTAATACCTGGACACCCACTGCTGTCTCATCACGTTACAGAGTCAAATAACATGGTCTTTATTTCTGTATTGGCCTGCGTGCCAGGTGCCAAAGATTCAAAGCAGCTCTGCTAATGAGTGATATCCTGATGATTTTAGGTTAACCACCAGTAGGAATCATAGCACTTGGAGAGGAGTCAGGTAATGTCATCACACTTGAGCATGTTTATGTACTGAAGATTACCCACAGGATCTCACATCATGAGATGTTTTGGGACTATTAGGAAACATCTGATAACATGTTTTCTTACCAAAGCTTTCTGCTGTTGCTTTGTGGATTAAAGATCTTCYAGTGTTGCTGGCTCCTTCTTAGCTGATGTTGTAAACACAGAAAATCTCATAACCTAAATAAACCTTCTGGGCTGATCCAAGATACTCTCAGTACTCATCAGAGAAAACATTTAGCTTGTAATGCCCTCTAGAGGCAGAATTGCTATAATAATGTCGACCACATTTTGTTTGCTCTCTACACTTCCGTGGTTTAAATATGATGCTGTGCTTCAAAGCAACATTTCATTTTTAAATAGGTCACATTTCAAATTTATACAGGAATATAGTTCTAGAAGTGTTAGGGGCTCTGCAGCTAATTAAAAATCTCATTATGCACCTGTGCTGAAGGTTGTCTCCCATTGAGATGTAACCACATTTAGACAACAAAGCAAAATGGTGACACTTGTCACTTGTATGCTATTTAATATAGAAACTTGCGCTTGAGCTTGAGGAGAAGTTCAACATCAATTTAAGAATAATTTGGAATATCAACAGTTTTGGAGTTTGACACATCAATGCTAGACATTGAATAAGCTTTTCTGAGAGCACCAGAATTCAAACATATTTCTAACATATTATTGTTATCCCAAAAGATTTGGAACATGTCATAAATCAATTGTTATCAATTTAATGAAATTAGGAGATCTGCATAGTGGAGAAAGTAGCTGTGTTTGTTAGAAGGAGTTCTGTCACTTCATGGTAGCCATGTGCTCCTTTACTAAGAATGATAGAGATTCAAAAAGTCTGTATTTACTCTGTGATAATACACAGTACAGAACCACTGCAGCCTAAAAGGAGTCACACCCATGTAATCAGAAACAGAAGTTGAGCCTGGAAGCTTTTGTCTTAACTGAATTTTTGAAACATTTTTTTATGAATTTTATCTTTCACTACTTGACGAAGATTTCTGGTAGGTAAGCATGGAAAGATGTCAGCAAAGAAGTTCAGACAATGCAAAACTGGGTTGGATTCATATTCTTCCATCTTATAATAGTTCAGCTCATTAATGAGAAAATCATCTGGCTGCTGGCACAATCAGATACAGTTACTTATCAGTACATTGAGTTCAGTTTATAGTACTCTGATTCATATTCATGATCAGAGGATGCAGTGGAGCAATTCATTAGTGCACTGCTGCATTAAGCAATCACTGCCAAAATGCGACATATTGAAATTCTGTGCTTCCTTCAAGAGTCTTTTGGTTATGAGTTTCCTAACTGTAGAAATCTATTGAGTTAAAATATTGATGCACTTCAAGAAAAAACATTGAAACTCTATGTATATAAGTTTTACTTTTAAAAATGTTCGTCAGTGCTATTATATATATGAAGTAATAGCATCTTCAAATAGAAGTTCAGACTAATGAATGTTAAGGTGTTTTTTTTCACCTTAAGCTGTTCAATAACATCAACAGAAAAGTCCTCCTCCGTTCTGTATTTCTGCTTCCAATGCAAATTAGGGGCCCTGACGATTCCAGGCTGTTATGTTTATCTAACAGCGACTCTGTTTTTATAAAGGGACAAGGCTTGTCAATTGTACTGTTGTGAAAAGAAGGGGAAGTTAGGATTAGTTTCCTTTCACTTTTTATTGAAGCTGAAGCACAGTAGTGCAGCAATTCTCTGCAGCTTCATTTGATCCACCAAAATATTTTCTATTAGCAAACTTAATTCTTCAGCTAATTGTGTATTCTTAGTATTTATA